GATGGTATATCATGGTGGAAGTGAACAGCAGAGGAAACTGCTCACCTTGTGGTGGTCAGGAAGSGAGAGGAAGAGACCCTTTCAAGGCCATGCCCCCAATGACTTTCACCTCTTAGAGGTTCTTCCACTTCCCAGTAATGCTAGGTGCAGGGACCAAGCCTTTAATTCATGGRCTTTTGAGAGATAGTCTAGATCCAAACTATAGCAAGGAAGATCTGCTTCTTAGAGACCTTAGCCCTAGAAATAACAAACCTCACTTCTGCTTGTATTCTGTTGTCAAGAACTAGGCAGGTGGCATCTGGCACTGTAATTGCCAGCTGGGCAGCCCCTGCCCAGTTACCATTGTGTTACAAGCAATGTGAAGAGTGGAGCTGCTCTATCACAGAGCGTGTATGGGCAAATAAAAAATTAATTACAACACCACAGGGTAGTATATGTTTAACTCAGTTGATTGAGAGTGGAAAACAGATCAAGAAAGGTTTTTGGGAAGAGGAGGCATACAAGCTGTGTCTTAAAAGAAGGTGACCAGGTGAAGCAGGAGAAAAAAAAATATTTTAGGCAGAGAAAACAACTGTAAAGTACAAGGAAACTAGAAAGAATTTGGCCTATGAGGAAAACAAAAGTAGTACAAGATTTGTGGACTCTCCTATGCCGCCATAATAAGGTGAGACAAAGGTCTAGCTAAAGGGCCTTTAGGGTCAAAGGGAAAATTCTGTGCTCGATGTAGACTCATAAGGTTTGGAGTCTCATTCTCCAAACAATGAGAAGTAACCAACTCAGTGAGGGTCTGGAGCCACCAGACACAGGAAAGAGGCACTGATARGTGCAAAGTCTTCTGATGGGAATGGGGTTAGTATACTTGAGGAGAACAATGTCCACTTGGCCGATGCATCTGTTGGGGTAGATGAGGTCTGAGAGGCGGTGAGAAACCATATGGCGTTCCGGTCTTATGAATCATTGAGGAAATTTTAAATTTTATTCTATATTCAATGGAGAGTTATTAGAATTTTAGACAGGGGGTTGGGTTGATGTCATGCTGTAATAGGTTAAACCAAGGATTTCATCCCAACAATTCATTTTTTGCCCCRTCCTCCCAAATACAACATTTTCTAAATTGTACAGGCCAATGCTATATACTGGTATGAAACTCATTATTTTAGAGTGACATTATGCTTGTTCAAATTAATGTTCTCGGTTTAGCTGACTCATAATGGGAACAAGTTCATATGCAAAAGGAATAGAAAAAGACAACAGGTATAGGCAGAGGAAGGAATGAGAAAATAATGCCAAATGTTGCTACATCTTGATTCTTTAAAAAACAAAATGAAACATTATAGATGTGACTTTGCATAAACCAAGATTCAGAAAGTTTCCTTCTTGTGTAAGACAATGACATTCAACCCACAGGTGGCACCTGATTCTCTTGGAGTCTTGCACTGTTCAAAAATTCCTTCATTAGACCAAGGAATAGTTTAGGAAAGAGAAAAATCTCAATTAAAAAGCAAACTTTRAGACAGTTATGTAAAGGATGTGATACAAAGGCGTTTCTGAGAGGATTCTGTATTTAAAATACCTCTCCATAACCCCTTGTTAGCCCTAGAACTTTTCAAAGTGCTTGGTATTAAAATGTCACTCTTTTGGTTAAAGAGAGATTTTTATCTCAGAGCACAATGGAAATACCCTTACCCTGAAAATGGATGCATTCACTGAATAACAAACAGATGTCCCATATTTTTGTATATTTTTAGTTAACAAAAGTTCTATATGTTTATTTTATATAACATGATGTTGAAATTTGCATGCATTATGAATAGCTAAGTCAAGCTAATTAACATATGTGCCATGTCACATACTTATTTGTGTGTGTGTGATGAGAATGTTTAAAATCCACTCAGTGATTTTTTTCAAGTTATAATACATTGTTACTAACTGCAGTCACCATGTAGGACCCAAGATCTCTTGAAGTCCTTCCTCCTGTCTAATTGACAGTCTGTACTCTGACCAACACCCCCACAGGCCCTGGTAAYCACCATTCTACTGTCTGCTTTGGTGAGTTCAGCTTTTAGTTTTCCCATGTAAGTGAAGTCATGCAGGATTTGTTCTTCCACRACTGGCTAATTTCACTTAGTGCAGCACCTCCAAGTGCATCCTCGTTGTCTCAGATGATAGGGCTCCTTCTTTTTATAAGGCTGATTAATTAGTAGGGGATGCTGTCTCCTACAGCATCCTGAAACACCCAACTCCACACACAATGGCGCTCCTCCCTTTCACCCACAGGGGGTACTGCCAGGCTTCTTGGTCTCAGGCCTCCTCCTCCATAGTCCTTTCCCTGCCCTCAGCAGATACCCTCACTTCATAATATTAGTAATGTTAGTAAAATGCTGTGAGTGTGAACTGCTGGGTTTTCCTTCCTGTTTTTCTATACGTTTATCTCCTTTTGCCCATTTTCTGGGAGTTTGGCGGCTCCTCTAAGGCTAACTCATAACACTAAGGCTGATATGAGTTTCCTTCTGTAACTATACCCTTGCTTCCATTTCCTTTTACTAATTCCTTGTTTGCTTCCTTCCAGAAATTTTTATTGAGTAT